CTGTGGTATGCACAGTACTTTGGGTCCGTAGTGTTGTCAGCTTCCTCCTGATTTGTGATAGGTGGTAGCTTGATCTTGTTACCTTCAAGGAGGGATTCGAAGATGGCTGGAACGTCTTCGTCCTTGAAGGAATACTCTCTTTGGAGTCTCGGACCCGAAGTCTTTTGCTGCCTTCGGGATTGCTGTTGTGACGCTTGATTAGCACCACCAGTAGCTGCAGGTGTTTTGCCCTTACCACGAGAGGCGAAGTTTGAGTCCAGAGGATTAGCCGTCGGTAGGTTCCTCTCGGCCTTCTTCCTTCGGAGGAAACGTTCGGCTTGTTCACCGCGCACCTTCAGATCCTTCCAAGTGTCAGACGGTGCTGTTCCCATCTTGAGGCGGCGATACCAATCGAAGGCGGCTCCACGAAGAGTGCCAACGAAGGACCGTACCATCAGAGGCTCATTACCAGAGATAATCCCTAGGTATGATTTGAAGTAAATCAAATGCTGAGTGGGTGAACCCTTCCCATCAAACGGCATGAAGTTAATTAGATTGAACTTCGCCGGATACGGGATTGATTCTCATTCTCTTGAGTATGGATAAGGAATGCCCGTCTTTTTCATCTCTTGAGCGAAAATCAACATATTAATTTTGCTCTCGAGGTTTTTAATCTTCAAACTTTCACCTGTATTTTCGTTAGCACGATTCTGAGGTGGAAGTGTGGCATTATGACTAGCATTCTCGATACCACCCCCTGCATTGACGGGAGGATTATTGGCATTATGAGCTTCATCTGCACCCGTGTCCTCATCTTCTTGATTGATTGTCAGTGCTTGGATTTATTGGTCATGCATTTCTCTCATATTCTGCATGGCCATCTGCATTTCGAACCTGAAGCTCTCCTATTGTTTAGCCATGGCTTCTTCGAGCATCTTGGCCACTTGTTCCGCACTTATCATAAGTGACTCGCGGGGTTGTCCCTCGCTGGATACCGTATTATCTGATGCGACCGCCGAGCCGGCATCCGATTCTTCATCTTCTGAAGGTAATCTTGTCCGAATCCTACCATAAGTTGCTCGTATGATGGCTCCAGACTGCAGACGTGTTACATGCCGGGGTACCTCCGAAATCGACTTGGGATTATCTTGTGTCGATGTCCCTTTGCTGGTCATATTAGTGGTGACCCTCGAAAATTCTCCATCTTCAACTACCGTTCTTCATTGCAGGAAACGCCTAGGCCTTGGTTTTGGCGTTTTGGTACTGAGCCTTTCGAAAACCAAAATTCTTTCGGGGACTGTCTTGATGCAGTTGCACTCAGACAATACTGCCCGAATGAGTTTGGAACAGGGGCATTGAGTCTTTAGTTCTCGAGGACTCCTTTTCCTATAGTACAACTCATCTGCTTGAAGGTCGGAGTAACCTATCGTGTGTTGGCACGACTTCTCAGGTATAACGTTATCATCATCAGACGACAATGTTTCCTTCTGAGGGCGAACTGCCTTCCTTAGGCTTTCAAGAGTCACGCGCCTCGAAACATGCCTTTGTGGGCGTGAATTCTCAGCTGGCTCCTGGACTTCAATACGCAAATTGGTGCACCTAGCTGCCATGATCTCTTTGTCATGTTGAGGGTGACGGCGACCGCAAGCATGTTGAGTCGTTCGGGGCTTCTTTATCGGGCCTAAACGTTCTTGAACTGAAGCTTTGTATCGCTCATCGGGAAGTGGACCGAGGCGCTCCAAAACTGACCTCCTTCTTCGGGATGGTCCTGCGGGATCTCCCGGAGCAGCTATGGGAATTATCGGCGATTTAGGTTGGTTCGCCGGAGGTTGAACTTTTACTGAAGGCTGCAATTGTTGCTCTTTAACCTGAATCGCCGCTTCAGACTTCGGCCTCCATACTTGGCGGGTTGGTGGCGGCTTTTTGGCCACTTCCTTCTGCAGTCTTCTGCGGGCTTCTTGGACTTGAGTCCGTGCTTGCGCTGATAGTGCGCGGCGCTTGCGAATGCACTCCTCAAGTGTCGAACGATTCCGTTTGACACGGATCCATTCATTCGTTGGCGGCTTGGAGGAGCTGCCATTCATTGGTTGTTGAGGCTGTTTGCCTCTCCTGTTCTTCAGATCCGCGTTATAGTGGATTCCGTCAGTGGACTCCATTGCCTTTGCGAATTGC